GGCTTTTGAGCATGATGGTTCTTGGCAAATGACAAATGTTTTAGTTGTATTTTGGCTCTGGTAACCCGTTCAGTATTCAGTGCTTTGCCTCAGCAATTCTGTGTTTTGTATTCATGTGAAGCACCCCAGATCTCAAGTTTCCTTTAAAAAAAAAAAAAAGACTGAATGGTTGATGAATTGGATCTGCTTTACTTTCTGTGCTGGTTTGGCCCACCTTGAATTTTCTTGTGTTTACCTGATGAGGTGTATGATTTTCTTCTTGTTACCCTTGTCAGTAAAAACAATATTTCCAGTAGAGAACTGAATCTGAAAGAGTGGGCCTGAATAAGGATATGTTCCTCTTTGAACATGTTTACAATGTGCAGCTGCCAATCAAAGTGTAGGGTGTTCCTGAAACAGTCTGCGGAAGGTCGGAGAGGTGGGTTTGCCACTGTAAAGAAGCAAATGGTTCTTGAAACTGAGGGCTTCTGGAAATTGAAAGCTTTTTGTGGTCTGAGAATGGCCTTGTTCTGTTCTCAGCTAAGATCTGTCCTTCATAGTTACTCATTAGGATCTGCCTTAGATTTCCTCTGGTCACAGTGACAGCAGCTCCTAATGGCTTGAGATTATGAAGGGGGGAATTTGTGGTCCCAGGCTCACTTTAAGCTACTTTGGATGACCCCTAGAGACTCCCCTGGCCTGATTGCTGGAAACTGTAAGTGTTTCCCCCCCATGTTGATGTGAGCCTGTAGTGTAAGCCCTTAAAGTATGCATATTAGGGTTAATATACATTAAATATACATTAAAGAAAAGAAAACTTATCCCTACCCACATGTGCAACGTGGAGCCACCCATCGCTAGATTTTAAAGGGGCTCGACTATCAAAATTTTGCCTGCCTCCAAAGGGAAAAAAAATAGAAAACAAGGTGGCTGACCTACAACCTATGGTAATGCCCTCCTCCAATTACCCTGCTGAAATTCAGCAGCAAAGTACAGAAATTAGATCATTTGATTGTTCCTATAAAAATATCAAAACAAAATACTCCAATAAGATGGGTAGGCCTATTTTGGTTTCAACTCCCCCCTCAAAAAGGTAGAAAGGGAGAGATTTGCTGCATCTTTCCAAGGTCACCACTTTGCCTTCAGAAGCTCAACATTGTGTATTTACTGTCTTGTTTCCTACCATTCGTGTTGAGCAATATCCTTGTGGTTCTCGCACAGCTGGCTGAACAAAATATGTGATCCAACAATTTGTAACTCTTTGTTTTCATCATGGTTGGATATTCAGATTCATACTCGGCTTACATAGCTGGTGTTCTTCTTCAAGAAGGTAGGCAGGAACTACTTCAGTCAGGGCGCTGTGCTTATATGTGCCTGTGAGAATGAACAAAAAGGAAAGGCACCTGCAGGCATGAAGTACAACTTTATGTTTATTTTGCGCTGAACACATTACCATCAAGTGAGATGGCGGCTTTGTATCAGTCCATGAATAAGAAGGAAGTCAAGTGCTAGGCATATTTTGGGGACTACAATTCCTGCCAGGCCCACAATGCACAGCTAGAAGCAAAGGATTATGGGAGTGTTAGTCAATACCCTCTCGAGAGCACCAAACTGCTTTCGAGAGGGTAGATAAATCCATGGAGAACAGATCTGTGAGAAACTATTCCTTGTTAGGATGGAATTTTCATGTTTCAGAATAGCATGCCACTCGTTGTGACTGATGGGTCAAATGTAAGAAGACCCTCCCTGTGAATCTCCACATTTTTTATTTAATTGCCAAAAGATCTACCTGTGAGTCTGACCTAGCAGGGTGACACTAAACGTTTACTTGATATGATCCTCTCTGACATTAATTTTGGCTGCAAGAAGGCTGGACTATGTCAAGCATAGCAGTAAGGCTGCAATCCTAGACACACTTGCCCGGAAAGATCACACCGGACATGCATGCATTTCTGATTGCAAAGCTGAAGAAAGAGAAGATCTTTCCCCTTCCCCATGAGACACTAAGCAATTCCAAGGGCCCGTTTATTTATTTATTTAGCATATGGCAAAAGTGTTAACAAATACACCACGGTTACGCTCTCAATGAGCAAATATGAAACTATTTTACTCTCTTTACAAGTTCAGAAGTAGACTGTGTAGTCAATAAATGATGGAGTTGCATGCAGAAAGTACCTGTCTCCAAAGCGAGACAGTTCGACGTGTCGAGGAACAGTGCCCTCTGAGCACATAACCAGGAGCCTAAATGTTGCAGAACAATACAGCAAAGTGGCTATGGCCAAGTTACACATTTGGGCAGAACAAGGATTTTCCATTTTTTTGCCAGTGTTTGCAGGCCATGGTGTGATAGTCATGGTGGTAGTCGTGGTATATTTTTCATGTGTTTTCAGGCCTCAGAGAAGCAGGATCCAGCATCATTGACTTTTGGCAACTATACCACTGACGTTTTGAGATAGGATTAAATGTGTGTGTGTGTGTGAGAGAGAGAGAGAGAGAGAGAGACAGACAGACAGACAGACAGACAGAGACAGAAAGAGGGGGGGGAGGGAGAGGGGGGAGAGTGTTCAGGTACCATGTATGGCCCTGGGACTTCTCCTGTTCTAAATAAGTTCTGCTTATGTCTGAACCTTGTCCATTCATTTTAAAAATAAACATGGTAGAATACTTTTGCAAGCGCTACTTTGGATTTCATAAAAGCAACATCTTCTTACCACAGAGCATCCAGCCTTGAGTATGGTTAGGACAAAAGAGATCTTCTGGACTTAGATAAACTTACAACAAAGTGAGTTTAAAAACCAAAAATAGATCTTGTGACTCTTAGAGTGGGGTTATTAGGAGCAAAAATGCTACTTTCTTGCTATCTAGACTTTCTGGCTATTTGTTCTTCTGACCTCCCATAGCCCTGATCCAGAGCGTCTCAGAGTGAAGACAATCTCATGATTTGGGGCTGGGTTAGAGAGCAGGAGCCAGGCATAGCATAGCAAAGAGATGAGATGGGAAAGTGAATCTAACTTAAAGCTTGAAAGATGATGCATGATTAAAACTGCTCTGGAGTTTTTCTAGTGTTGGCATCAGAGATGATATTCAGCAAGTTCTGACTAGTTCTGGTGAACCAGTAGCAGAAATTTTGAGTAGCTCAGAGAACCAGCAAATACCTCCTCTGACTGGGGATTTTACAGTATCCTTCCCCTGCCATGCCCACCAAGCCACGACCAAAGAACCGGTAGTAAAAAAAATTGATACCCACCACTGGTTGGCATCCTTGTATCACTAATGAAAATTTGGATGGGAGGAGGGGGGAAGAACACACACATATTTTCCATTTCCATAAAACCGATATAAATTTTTGTGTGGAACTTAGGAAGAGGAGTTGGTGTTTTCTTTTCTTTCTTGCAAAGTATGGCTTCAGTTGTCGGGGTCAGAAAATCAGAAATAGGAACAAAATGTCTTAATATTGAAAAATCTTTTCAACAGCTAAAATCAGATTCCTTCAACCTGGTCTCCTCTCACTTCAGCGGAGCCCTGACTAATCTCTCTCCCTTCCATAATTAGGCCTAGTACTTGCATGCTCCTTTCCCCCCTGTTCAATCATACCCACGCATCCTCTTGGTCTGGCGCTTTTCCATTTTTGGGAAAAACTCCATATCTCCATTGAGGATCCAACCTGCTTGATTTCTCCCCCAACCTCCTACAAGCTGGTTCTGCTCAGATGCCTGCGTTTTTAATCCCCCCACCCCCACCCCCAGTTCCCTGACCAGATAACCGTGTTGGTCGGAGGATGGTTGAAATCCAACTGGAAAGTATCGGCCTGTGGGAAGCCTGACTTAAGAAAAGCTGCCGATAGGTCCTGTTCAATGTCTCCTTGATCCACCTTTTTCTCAAGTGAACCAGACCTACTTCACTTACAGAGCTGAATGCAGTTATGGGTTTATTTAGAAATCCATGATCCAACCAAATATCCTGCTTAAACCTTATCTTTTTTATTTTTTCTTCCTTGCAATGATAAATGCACCCACTCATAGAGAGATGATATTTTTCATTGGCAGGTTATATCCATTGTTGAAGTAATAATTTGAAACGAATGACTGTATGAATCAATATGCATCCTTGCTAAAATCAGCCTAGTGGGGTGTTAGGTAGAAAGTCATTGGTCTACAGCAGGGCTGTCAAACTCCCAGCATATGGGTCGGATGCATCACGTACTGGCCATGCCCCCTGGTTTAGCGAAGGAGGGGAAAGTCCCGATATATCACATGACGCCACCGTGACAATGTGAGTTTGACACCCCTGGTCTACAGTATTCACTTAAATAGTGTTGTGGTTTCCCTCCCCACCTCTCAGCCTTCATCTCAGGAAATAAACTTATTTTGATCATAGGCATCCATGCACAATATGGTACCATGGCAAATGTGAGCTTACATCTTCAAAATATGAGTATGTGAAGAGAAGAGAAAGCTACTCTACCGATCAAGTAAATCCTATTGTAAGAGCTGCCTAATAGATGTTGATAGTTTGCAAGATAATAATATCATATATTTCACATATACACTTACTGCATTTGAGTGTGGAACTTTCCAATCTTGCAATGGGTCAAAGACACTTTAAAGAAAGGAAGCTTGAAAAGGAAGAAGATGGATGCTTGGGTGAGGCTTTCATTTTGGGCAGAGGTTGAGTAGAATACCTCTCCTTAGGGCCAGCCTACTGTTAGGTAGAATGAGACAGGTGCTCCAAGCAACAAATTCTGGAAGACTGCAAAAGAGTGTTGGGTTTCAGAGCTGTAAATCACAGAGTCTTGTGTTCCTCAGCCAGCCCGTGGTTTTCGGATGCAAGGAGATACGTCCTCCTATTTCTGGGCTGAAGGAGAATTCCTCCTGCGGTCCACTTGGCTTGTACACATGGAATGGGAGGGATGCTCCTTATTCTTGTCTTAGGCAGTAAAACCTTTTGACAGGACAGCTGTGCAGTTTCATTTCCACTTGCTTGTCTTTTCTGGCCACCTACCCCCCTCTCCAACCCTGCAGGTGTTCAGAACCAAACATCTTCCAAGAAACCCAGGAACCGCAGCATCTTCCAATCCCTTTTTTGCTGCCTTTGCCATGACAACTCAGAGCCTATCCCTGTCAACAACAATGCCCCACTGCTGGTGGAAGAAAACGGTTCGGTGACCAAGGTATGTTGAACTGTCTCTTTGATTCCTGGCATATATATTTTTGGGGGCCATCAAGGGTCTTACAGGATGGAACCAGTCTCTTTGGTGCTCCTGAGAACAAGAGATCCATTTGTCGGAAGGAGTTCATACCCCAACCCATGACTTTCCAGATATGTGGGATTGAAACATCGTCCTCCTAGCAAGCAAAAGAAATGATTGTGCACCATTGGGACTGATGACTATTGTAGTCCAAACCATCCAATAGATGCTATGTTGGGAAAGGATATGTTAGGTTTCAGAAAAAGACTGTTGTCCACACCCTTCTTTCAGTTCATTATATTTCTACCCATTGAGAATTCTCAGGCCAAGTTTAGCTCCAGGTAAAATTCCCAAGCTCCTTGGTCAAGTGATAACATCTTCAAAACAGTAAGACTCCAGGCTCTAGGTTGGAGAAGGTGTAAAAACTTTAATGGATGTCATCAGGTGACATTAAGCTCTGGGAACCAGAAAACAGCTTGAGAAATTAGAATACCCATTGCAGACCATTTACAGACCATTAATCACCCGCCGCAATGCTTTAATTTCTTTCTTAAACTTGGATAAGGAGAATTAGTTACATTCCACATAGATGGCACATCTGCCATGCAACCCAGAGATCTTTGAAATGCATTTGGCTGCAGCTCTCATCACATGATCCCTTATTGCTTAACTGCCAATAGATAATGTCAGGTGACCAGCTTGAGGGGATGGGCAAGAAGAGTCATGGCTGTCTTGCCTAGCATTTCTCTGATGTCTAAGCTGCAAGATAGCAATCTAGTTAGAGATTGGGTTGCATCTGTATTTGAAAGACCACACAGTAATAGAACAGGTACCCAAGTGGTATTTGCACTGGACTACACAAAAATCAAACATTAGCAACTTAGGCTATCCACTCACTAATATTTAAGAAAAAGATTAGGACCTTATTAAGAGCCTTTTATATTTCTGGCATCACTCAAGATTTGTAGCTTGTTGCCCATAGGGGCTGGGCCAGAGGTGGTATTCAGTAGGTTCTGACCAGTTCTGGAGAACCAATAGTGGAAATTTTGAGTAGATTGAAGAACCTGCAAATACCACCTCTGACTGGATATTTTACAGTATCCTTTCCTTGCCACGCCCACCAACCCATGCCCACAGAACCGGTAGTAAAAAAAAATGTGAATCCCACCGCTGGGCTGGGCTGCCAGGACAGTAACACACCCTTTAACCGATAGATTTTTTTTTTAAAAAAAACAATGATTAAAGAAGCTAAGCTTGATGCTAATGTATGAATTTTCTAGTTAATTTTGGGGGGTCACCAGAGCCTTTAATTATTCAGAGCTCCTGAGGTACCAACTCCCTTTAAATGCAACCCAAAGCTGATTCGTTTTTTTAGATCACCTGACCCTTGATATACTAGTGCCCTCTTTTGCCCAGTTGTATAACTGCTAATGCTTAGGCTTGGCTTCCAAACTTCTTCCCCCTGTTTTCCATTGTAAAGCACCCCACTGCAGCTACTTTATCTTCCCAGCCTATATTTTATAGCTATGGAATCATAAAATAGGGAATGGGTGATAGATGGAGGGAGGGAGGGAGGCAGGGAGGGGGAGAGAGAGGGAGGGGGAGGGAGAGGGAGGGAGAGGGAGGGAGAGGGAGAGAGATTCATTTATTCTAATCCTCAGTTTTCCTATCTTGGGTGCTGGCTATCCTTTTGTCTAATATTGTTCTATAGAGGACTGAGGGCAGAGTTTTTGATGCCTGCCAAATATTCCTTGATACTAATATGGGGAAGCAAACTAAAAGAAGACAGCATCCACTTTTCACAAAACACACGGAGGACCTCTGATTGTAGAGCATTCATGCTCTTTACAGGTTAATTCCCATTGTCCCTCATGCCAGGTGTCAGAGGTTGAAATTCCTTGCTTCCATGTCTTTTTAAAATCCAGGTGTTTAATCATATGCATACATGTCTCTCTGTCTTTCTCACCCTGCAGAGCACAGTCAAATACCTGTTGCCAGAAATCAAACCCCAAGATGCCAATAAAATCTGTGTGGTGATTGACTTGGATGAGACATTAGTACATAGTTCCTTTAAGGTCAGTTCTTACATACTTACCTCTTTTCTTTCTTTCTTTCTTTCTTTCTTTCTTTCTTTCTTTCTTTCTTTCTTTCTTTCTTTCTTTCTT